AAAGCATATGGCTGAAGCTGCCCTGGGTTGGGGGGATGTAGACATATAAAGAAGGATCTCAGCCTCTGTACTTAAGAGCCAGTCCCTTGCCATTTTCATTGTGGTGATAATAGAACTGCTGCCTGCAACTGACTGCAGGATTCCCTGTAAGCTGAGCGCTTGGGCAGCCACCCAGGAAAGAGTCAGGTGGCACCCAGCTGATTAGCAGAGCACCCACAGCCTACTGTGTTTCTACTGGTGGTACACATCTGCACATCCCTTGGTATGCAAATAAAGTTATTCCACACAAGAATGGAAAAAATTAAAGGAAACGTTGCCTGATTGTCTCATGCAGATCACAGATTATTTTCCATTCTTCCTACAATTCTGGCTACGTGGGGGAAGCTGTGAAAGGAACTGTGACTAAACCCCAACAGTGATGAAAATTAAAAGCGTTTGCAACCAGACTTCTCACAGCCAAACGTGCTCTTCTGCCAAGCCACCACTGTGACCTCTGATATGTCCTGCTGCAACTGTTCCCCAATCACACTTCCTTCTCTCTCAACTCTGTCAAGTGCTCTGGATCCCAGTATTCCCACCCGGATTGCTGTGTTGGTGCTGGTCCAAAGTGTTACTCCAAAATTCAGGTTGCCAACTTTCTAATCATACAAAACTGAACACCCTGGTTGTCCCACTGCAGCTCCCAGGCCACTGAACACCCTTGCCCTGTTCAGTCCAACACTCCTCCCCCGCCCTCTCTCACTTTCACTGAGCTGGGGCAGTGTTGGAGAGTGGAAGGGGGGGGGAGGGGAAAGAGGCTCTGGCTGGGAATGTGGGCTTGAGGGTAGGTGTGGGGGATGAGTGGTTTGGAAGGGGCTCAGGGCTTTGTGGTGAGATGCAGCCAGGAGTGCACGATATGGACTCCAGAAGGGAGTTAGGGTTCAGGAGGGGGTTCTGATCTGGGGCAGGGGATTTGGGGTGCAGGTTCCAGCTAGGTGGCGTTTATCTTAGGCAGCTCCTGGAAGTGGCTGCAGCTCATAGGTGGAGGAGCCAGGTGGTTCTGCATGCTGCCCATGCCAGCAGGCGCCCCCTCGAAGGCTTCCGTTTGCCAAGCCAGCACTAGAGATGGGGACAGCATGCGGGGCCCCTGTGGCCATCCCTGCACCTGGAAGCTGTACATACATGCCTGCCACTTTCAGGAGCCCCAGCAGGCTGCTAATCAGCTGGGTGGCAGGTGACTCTCACCTGAGTGGTCGCACAAGTGTACAGCTTACAGGGAACACTGCTGCCTGGTAACTGTATCTAAAAGCAAGAGGTGGATTCAGCTGCCCTGTCAAAACATTCCCTGATCAGTCCCATACTTACAGACATTCGTATCCTTACTGAAAAGTAAGGCTCATTACTGTCAATAGTAAACATCACTCCCTGGGATAAAGATTAAATGTGGACTAGAAGTGAAAGTACATAAGAATGGCCATACTGGATCAGACCAAGGGTCCATCTAGCCCAGTATCCTGTCTGCCAACAGTGGCCAATACCAGATGTCCCAGAGGGAGGGAACACAACAGGTAATCCTTACATGAGCCCTCTCCTGTCATCCATTTCCAGACAAACAGAGGCTAGGGACACCATTCCTACCCATCCTGGCTAATAGCCATTGATGGACCCTAACCTCCATGAATCGATCTAGCTCTTTTTTTAACCCTATTAAAATCCTAGTCTTCACAACATCCTTCGGCAAGGAGTTTCACAGGTTGACTGTGTGCTGAGTAAAGAAAAAACTTCCTTTTGTTTTAAACCTGCTGCCTATTTATTTCATTTGGTGACCCCTAGTTCTTATATTGTGGGAATAAGTAAATAACTTTTCCTTATTCACTTTTTCCATACCCATCATGATTTTATAGACCTCTGTCATATCTCCCCCCCACTTAGTCTCCTCTTTTCTAAGATGAAAAATCCACATCTTTTTAATCTCTCTTCATATGGGACCTGTTCCAAACCCTTCATTTTTTGTTGCCCTTTTCTGAACCTTTTCCAATGCCAATAAATCTTTTTTGAAATGAGACAACCACATCTGTTTGCAGTATTCAAGATGTGAGTGTATCATGGTTTTATACAGAGGCAATAAGATATTTTCTGTCTTGTTCTCTATTCCTTTTTTAATGATTCCTAACATTCGGTTTGCTTTATTGACTACTGCTGCACACTGAGTGGATGTTTTCAGAGATCTCTCTCTTGAGTAGCTGTAGCTAAATTAGTCCCCATCATATTGTATGTATTATTTGGGATTATTTTTTCCAATGTGCATTAATTTGTATTTATCAACATTAAAGTTTATTTGCCCTTTTGTTGCCCATTCACTTCGTTTGGTGAGATCTTTTTGAAACTCCTTCACTGTCTGCTTTGGTTTTACTATCTTGAGCAGTTTGGTATCTGCAAATTTTGCCATCTCACTATTTACCCCTTTCTCCAGATCATTTATTAATAGGTTGAATAGGATTGGTCCCCAGACAGACCCTTGGGGGACCCCTCTAGTTACCTTTCTCCACTCTGAAAACTTACCATTTATTCCTGCCCTTTGTTTCCTGTCTTTTAACAAGGTATTAGTCCATGAAAGGACCTTCCCTCTTATCCCATAAGAACGTACTTTTCTTAAGGGACCTTGTCAAAGGCTTTCTGGAAATCTAAGTGCAGTATATCTACTGGATCCCCCTTGTCCACATGTTTGTTGACCCTTCAAAGAACTCTAGTAGATTAGTAAGGCATGATTTCCCTTACAGAATCATTGTTGACTTTCCCCCAACAAATTATATTCATCTAGGTGTCTGACAATTTTATTCTTTACTATAGTTTCAACTAATTTGCCCGGTATAGACAGACTTACCAGTCTGTAATTGCCAGGTTCACCTCTAGAGCCCTTTTAAAATATTGGTGTCCCATTAGCCATCTTCCAGTCATTAGGTACAGAAGCTGATTTAAAGGATACATTACAAACCATAGTTAATAGTTCCGCAATTTCACATCTGAGTTATTTCAGAACTCTTCAGTGAATGCCATTTGGTCCCGATGACTTGTTACTGTTAAGTTTATCAGTTTGTTCCAAAACCTCCTCTAATGACATCTCAATATGGGACAATTCCTCAGATGTGTCACCTAAAGAGAATGGGTCACTATTTCCAAGCAGTCCAGATCCTGTGGTTAAGAAATCAAGAATTGCCTCTCCCTTTGTGGGTTCCAGAACCAGTTACTCCAAGAAGCAGTCATTTAAGGTATCAAGAAATTTTATCTCTGCATCCCATTCTGAGGTGCTGTGTATCCAGTCAATATGGGGATAGTTGAAATCCCCTACTATTATTGAGCTTTTAATTTTGATAGCCTTTCTAATCTCCCTTAGCATTTCATAGTCACTATCACTGTCCTGATCAGGTGGTCGATAATATATCCCTACTGCTATATTCTTATTATCAGAGCATGGAATTACTATCAATAGAGATTCTGTGGAACATTTTGGCTCATTTAAAGATTTTTACTTCATTTGAATTTACATTTTCTGTCACGTGCAATGCCACTCCCCCACCAGCATGACCTGTTCTGTCCTTCCATTTTGTACCCTGTTATGACTGTGTCCTGTTGATTGTCCTCATTCTACCAAGTTTCTGTGATGACTATGATATCAATATGCTCCTTTAAAACGAGGCACTCTAGTTCACCCATCTTATTATTTAGACTTCTAGTGCTTGGGTAATAAGCACTTTAAAAATTTGTCACTACTTGTCTGTCTGCCATTTCCTGTGTATTAGACTCTTTTTCATTTGATCTGATAATTCCATCCTCTCCTCCTGACTAGAACATAAGAGAATTTCTATTAATAGACCTTCCCTGAGAGATGTCTCTGTCCGATCCATGTGCTTTCCCCCAGCCTTTAGCTTAAAAACTGCTCTATAAGCTTTTCAATGTTAAGTGCCAGCAGTCTGGTTCCATTTTGGTTTAGGTGGAGCCCTTTCCCAAAAGTTTCCCTAGTTCCTAATAAATCTAAAGCCCTACTCTCTACACCACCATCTCATCCATGCATTGAGACTCTGCCTACCTGGCCCTGTGCACGGAACTGGAAGCATTTCAGAGAACACAACCATAGATGTCCTGGATTTCAATCTTTCCTAGCAGCCTAAATTTTGCCTCCAGAACCTCTTTCCTACTCTTCCCTATGTCATTGGTACCTACATGTACCACGACCACCGGCTCCTCCCCAGCACTACACATAAGTCTATCTAGAGGTCTTGAGAGATCCACACCCTTTACATCAGGCAGGCAAATCACCACACAGTTCTTCTAGTCATCACAAAACCAGCTAGCTATGTTTCTAATGATAGAATCCCTCATTACTAACACCTACCTTTTTCCAATGACTGGCATTCTGTCCCCTGGAGCGGTATCCTCATTGTGTGAGGATACCATATCATCATCTGGAAGGAGGGTCCCAACTATGGGATCATTTACTTCTGGTACAGATGACTGTTCTCCTTCCCTGAGTCTTTCATCCTCCTTTAACAGCACAGGAGCTGTCTGACTGGAGATGGGACAGTTCTTCTGGAAAGCTTCATCTACATACCACTCTGCCTCCTTTAGATCCTTCAATTCAGCCACCTTGGCCTCCAAAGCCTATACGTGGTCTCTGAGGGCCAGAAGCTCCTTGCACCAAATACACACATACGCTACCCATCCATAGGGCAGGTAATCATACATGCTACACTAGGTGCAATAAACAGGATAGCCCCCACTCTGCTGCTGGGCTTCTGCCTGCATTCTTTCCTACAGATAATTACATTATTGATGGTTTTTTTTATTTAAATTGGGTAGTTCTGGTTTTAGTTTAGTTTAAAAGTTTTAAAGAATGTCAAGTGTATCTAGCCCCTTTCCAAGTCCCCCTCTAAACTCCCTCACGAAACTCCGTTAGCTGCCCCTAAGCTCAAAAGTCGTTACAAGCTCAAAAGCCTTTAAAAGTAGAGAAAAGAATGCACATCTACTTAGTAACTGAACTTTATTTAGAATCTTTGGAAATAATAAAACATCTTGTTTTACTGATATACATAAACATACAATCAGGAAGTTTAGCTGTTTTTTCCCCATTGCACAGAAGTAGATAACAGTTTTAACAAGCCAGAACACCTCAACCTGGACAATTGTTATTGAAATTCAATTATAGAATTGATCCTTTAAATACTGTATTTGTTTCCCCTTAATGTTCACTGGTTTATCAGTTAGTTGCAATGCAATTTTTGGCAGTAACATACTCAGCACACAAAAAAAGTGCAAGTTACAAGAAGCAATAATATTTTGAACAATGAAAAGTGCAAAATCTCAGCCAATAAATACTATATTCTTTATATCAACCGTATATGCATAAGAGACGACAAATGGCCATGTAAAATTTAATAGAATAATGTTGCAAATATTTTCATGATAATTATTTGATCAGATTAGTCATTAAATTTTGGTCAGAACCTTGAAACACTGTTTTATCAAGATGCATTTGCAAAATTTAAACTAGGTTCATTTAGCTTCTGCATACTTGGAAGGGGGGTAAGTTAAAAGTTTTCCAATTTAGTACATATGGATGTTTGATGTGCATCTATAAACAAGATTCCACTAACACTTCGTATTAATAAATCAACCAGCACAATGGAAATGAAATCCATTTTAAAACAGAAGTATCTCTCAGGCACTATTTATGGAATACCCACAAAATATTCCATCAAGTTAATGCACTTTGTGATTTATAATAGAGATAAATTTTTAATGCAATAAGAAAAACAACATTCTTAATGAGAGTTCATCACCTCTTCTGTGCTTACTACTGATCACGTTTAACCTCACTTCAGTATATTTTTCTTTATACAGTCAGGAGACTAATATCACATTTCACCTAAACATACTGAAGAATACTTTAAATGCTTTTCCTTTTTTTTTTTTTTTTTTGCTGTAGTGTAATAAAAAAATAGCCCTCCTAGCCCTATATCATACTGAGGTACTCCCTGCAAGCCACCAGTCTCCACAAAGTTAGAAAGATTAAACTGCATTACCACTTATTTGCTTTCCAAACTCACTTGCTAAATCTCTTAGTGGCATTATACAAAAAACAAACAAACAAACAAAAAACCCAAAAGAGATTCTAGCACTTTGAAGCATAGGGGACTGGATAGATAGTTGTTTGTGATAAGTAAAGGCCCCTTTTCCCACACCAACTGACCTCAGATTTCCAAAAATGTGCAAAATGGTTCAGTCTTCCTTCATTTAGACCTCAGCACCAGTGGGCATCACAACTTACAAATTATCACATTCCTGAATTATAGACTCATATTATGGGAAGCAAACTTTGGCCTTGTCAGAAGTCTAACTGTGGACACTGGTCTTACAATTTAGCATGCCAGCACAATGACAAATGCACTGTACTGAACATCTTGGCCCCTTCAGAACATTTTTTTTAATTAAAAAAAAAAGTAGAACAGAACCAGATATGCCACATACAGATCTTAAAAGACTGTTAGGGAGATTTTAAAAGACCTACAAAAATAGACTCTTCTCCCTTTTTTTAAATGTTAAAAGCTGCAAATTGACTCATCACATTAATAATCACTAACTAGCATGGACCTATTCAGACACTTAAATATGAAAAGTTAGCATTTGCCTGTCAGACTTACTGTGCAGAATACAAACACCTTCCCAGAGGAGAATCTGATATTTCATCATTTGAAACAGTGGTAATTTAATAATATGGTTAATGTTTTCTGACATACTTGAAAGGACAATTAGCATAAGTAAATCATGAGTGAGATGACAAGTCACTTAGCATTTATTTCTGCTCATCAGATGAGGATCCAAATTCTCTTTTGTGCATGCATGTTAATTCCACTTTCAGCAGCTATCACAGGGATTTCCTATTGATGGGGATAAACTGATGGTTTAGTAAAGTAAAACACATACAGTTCATTAAAGTTCTGTAAGTTAACTTTGTTGACAGGAAACAGAAGCCACAAGATACTAAAGAAGTAGAAAAATTACTGAGCAATAAGCTTCATTTATAAGACGAAATGAAACCATAGACGTGTGCCAGCCATACAGGCAACAGGATTAGAATATACTAATCTTATCTGGAGTTTGTTTTTCATCTCATTCAGGACTGTACATTATTATAGCAGCACAACGATGTTCTAAAATAACTGCATTCATCTCCACATGTGCAAAAGAGATTCATGATAACACTGTTAATGTTACAGTTCCTTTCTGGCATTTCAGAATAGCTACTGCTTGCTCGTGAGTAACACCTTCCAAAGCTTCTCCATTAACTGCTAAAATCTGATCACCACGCTTCAGTCTGCCATCATCTGCAGCTGCTCCCTGCAAACAACAACTTTATGTTAGAGACCAAACAATTTGATGTGACTGACTTGTAAATTACTGTAAAAATACAGCTTTACACTGTTCCCTCCGTAACATTAGTTCTGTTGCTTACCAACCCTCAACTTTTTCCTGCAGCCATAACTCGGCATCATGCTGGCAAATGCTAAGGGTATTTGGCAGAGGCTGGATGCATGTGGGTGGCTAGGTAGAGGGGATTCTGCTGTCCTGTTTGTACTCTTTTCTGGGATGTCTGTTCCTCCTCAAGGAAGGGTCAAGTCCTTGAAGCAGAAGGAGGGCTGTACGTCCTCTCTTCCTTAGTCTGGAGGCCAAAGCCACTGCAGTCCTTGGGTGTAGTGATATGACTGGGAGCTCCTGAACCCCCTCCTCCTTTAATGGGACAGAATTCATTGAAGGAGAGTGGGGCTCTCTGAAAGGAGAGACCCCACTCCTGAGTCTGAGCCACCCCTGCATTTTAGGTGGAAGGGTCTAGCAATGCTTAGCTGAGCTGGGACATGATTCCATCTGGCCCTGGTTTCCTTGCTAGGGTCTGCAATGGCAGGGGTAAAGGTGATGGGGCACTGGTTGAGGCCCCATGTGTGTTGCCAGCTGCACAGGGTTTATGCCACAACACTTCTGTTGGGACTTGGAGCCCTGCTATCCTCCAGCAGCAGCCTTGTAGGGCAGGTGTTCTTGGCCTGCTGGAGAAAGAGAGAGCTGAAAGCTGAGTGATGGCTCAACTCTCATATGAGCGGGAAATGGCACTTGAGTTACAAATCCCAATTCTCATTTACACAATGGCCCTTCTATACACTCTCGCTTTAAAGCCCCTTTTCACTGTCAAGAGAAGTCTAACAGGACTGCTATTCAAATGAAAGCAGGCCTTTATTGTTCTGTCTTCATCTGCTTATTGGGTAGAATCCAAACCCAAGCATGTGAACTGGTACAGAAGATCAAAGAGAAAAGTATTTATAGAAACCTGGAAACTTTTAGTTTTATTTATTTATTTTTTACTCCGTGCCAGCGGCTGACTTCATTTTCTCACCAAGAAAATGTAGATAAAGTTACATAAAACAGAGCAACACACTGTAAGATGTTCCACTGAAACTAAATGTATTGCTTGACTGCCTGAAGGCATAAGGATCCCCCTGACATAAAATGCAGGATACATTAGTATTATTAATAATTATTTGTACTATTGTGCAGTAGTGATGTCACATCACATTTCGTGAATGCATTGATGGCTTTAGGATAGGAAAATGAGGCTAAACTCCTGGCACTGTGCCAAAAGCTGATAAAGACAGTCTGCTCTCCATCTGGGCTGCATCTGACCGGCCGTGGAGTCAGTATAAAGCAAATCAGTGATTAGAAACACACCTAGAGAGTCTCTGCAAGGGGTTATTTGAAGGGAAAGACAAAAAGGCATTCTGAAATGTAAGTACTAGTCCCATAGTTTTTTCTTCTGTTGAAATTTGTGGACTCACTGAAAGAAAAGCAATTCTTAGTGCCCAGAGATTATTAAACACCCTACAAAACAATGGGTCTGAAATGTTTGCAGAACCCTCCAGATATTTATGCAGTCTTACATCTTTCACCTGCCTTTTTTTCCTTTTTTGGTCTATTTCACTGAGATGGTACTGTCAGTGACTTTCTGTTAACTCAGATTTCTGTTAAGCATTCCCAATTCTATAGGGTGAGAGTTGAGTTGAGCCAAAATTCCAGATCTTGACACTAGGAAGGCATGCGAAAATTAGAGAGGAGATCTGCTAGTCCCTATTTTTACAATAGGCCAAACCAAGAACTTGGATTAATACCTGCCATATGTTTACAGAAGTCTGAAACCCAATGCAAATTTTGCGGCTCAGTCCATGTCTACACAGAACCTTACCTGTGTAGAAAATCAAGACTGTGAGGCTGCAGGCAGCTAACTTCCTCTTTAGCAAGAGCAGAGCACAAGAGGTAAAACTGCACACCCACTTTCAAAGCTTTTGAAACTACCATACTGAAAAAGGAGGCGGGGGGAGGGAAGACTGTGGTGGTGCTGAACACTTCCCAAATTGGAAACAGAGAAATTAAAAATTAATAAAGTCTTAGGGCCTGATTCCCCATCACCCTGTCCCTTGTGAAGTCATCTACACCAGTGCAAATTGTGAAACACTACTGTTATGATTTAGTATAATTTTATATCCACTTTGCACTAGTGTAAGTGATCACACAATATGCTGGGCAATGGAGAATCAGGCTGATAGCATCTTCCTCTTTGTGACCTTAGCAAGACATTTAACCTCTCTGCAACTGTTTCCCTGCTGTAAAATGAGGGTGGGGGGGGTGGAGAATGCTACTTATGCACAGCACTTTGAGACCTAGGAAGAAATAATGCCATATACAGATTATTTTAAAGACATTTCTCAAATACACAGAACAACATGTATTTGCTCAGATGAGGGCTCTCTCCACATAGCAGTGCAATGAAATACAGGCAGTCCCCGAGTTACGCTTACAAACGGGGCTTTTCTCGCCCCGGAGGAAGCGGGCGGCGGGGGGGG